TATATATATATATATCTTAATACTCATATATAATATAATATGTTAAAAAATTAATTTTTGTTAAAATAAAGTTTGCAGCATATATGTTTACCTTTTGTGTTTTCTATTTATTATATACGTTGATTAAAAAAAATCAAAATAAGAAAGATCAAAAGATTTGTACTGTATTTAGAATTTTTATTATAAAATATATTTTAAAATAAATTATCATCTAAAAATACATATTAGATACATGTTTATATCATAAATAGATTAAACTTAATTTTATAAAATTTAACTTATTTTTTTTAATATTTTTTTATTAGTGTTAAATTATTATAAATTAGATTTTTAGGATTGTAGTTCTAATCAAATTTATGGCAGATAAATAAGTCATATTTAGGATATATATTTTTTAAAAATTTATGTTCAAACTTACTAAATTATAATATAATCTAGTATGACCTAATTTATTTTTATCTTTAATTGTAATCGACATGGTGATAGGTTAAAGATACCAACCACTCCACTCAACCTATTTTAGTAAGTTAGACAAGTTTAGAGTTTAACTCAACCTGTCATCTTAATTTAAACTCACAAATTTTAAATGTGTGATAGTTCAATGACTACTAAACTAACATATGTTACAGTTGGATAAATATTGACATTGCACTGTCAAGATCAATAATACAACATTTTTTGGCAACATAAAATTATATGGGAATCAATATATAATAACAAAGTATGGGAATATGTGTGGGGTGACTATTGTGTAATGTATTTGGAATACAAGAAACAAGTGTGTATTTAAGGGTGAAAATTTTAATAGAAGGGAATTGGCACAAAATATAATATATACATTTTGGTTGTGACTTAAATCGTTATCTCAATTCCAATATTCTTATATATAATGGATAAATTGCACAAGTGTTTGTATCATGTAATAAAATGTTGAATTATTTTATTTTATTTTTGTATTGTGGTGACTTAAAAACGAGGGTTTGAATTAGATTTATAATGAATTTTATACAATGTAAAATGCTTAACAAAATATCATTGTATGCTTAACTATAAAATATATGTTAAGATTTCAATTAATAAGATTTTTTATTGCTACATTTAGGAGGATAAAGACAAGTAGAAAAGCTATTAATTTTTTCACATATATATTATGGCATAACTTTTAATTTGTTCCTTCAAAAAAACTTTTAATTTGTATATATTAATGTAATAATTTGCTTATTTAAAAAACCTAATTTAAAAATCCTAATCATTAAAGATAATTAAAATGATTTTTATAATATACATTTAATTTTAAACTAAATGCTTAATCATATATTAATTCCTACATATCAATGAAAGATATGCATCGTTAAGATTTTTAAGAATATTTATATAAGTTTATATAAAATTTGGTAAGTTTGATTTCTTGTTTAACAAACTCTAATCATAATTTAATAATTTTTAATAATTTTAACCAATAATAAAAAAGTTAAAAAATACTACTATAACTCCTTAATATTGTTCCATGTTTTGGAAAGTTCACATTAACCTTTAAATAAAGAAATTAAGGTAAAATATGAATATTATTTATTTATTACAGAAAATAAGACCCGATAAGGTGAAAGCGGGTGGGATCCGTTTGTGTGAGCTGACATGAAATAAAAGCGAAGGGTTTGGATTTCCGATAGCAGAAAATGAGAGCATTCGCGTCATCGTCACTGATTAACTTGAAATCTTTCACTCTACACCACACTCCCACCTTTAAGAACCCTCGCTCTCTATCTCTTTCTCTCCCCTCTCTCTCTCCCTTCATTTCCCCTTCTCCAATCATGGCTGCATCCTTCAACTCCGAACGCGCCCGCGCTCCACCCGCCATTCCCATGCCCCCTCCTCCTCTCACCAAGGCAAGTCCTCTCTCTCTCTCTCTCTCATTCATTTTCTCTCACTCTCACTCACGCGCTTTGTTCCATTTCAGTTCAAAATCGGTCTCTGTCAACTCTCCGTCACTCCCGACAAGGACAGAAACATCGCCCACGCGCGCACCGCCATTCAGGACGCTGCATCCAAGGGCGCTCAACTTGTTCTCTTGCCTGTCAGTTCCTTTTCCCTTTTTGCTTCTTCCGCGTAGGATCACGCGCCTTACTGACTGCGATGCTACTTTCTTTATTTCAGGAAATTTGGAACAGTCCTTATTCCAATGACAGTTTCCCCGTCTACGCCGAGGATATCGACGCCGGCGCCGGCGCTTCTCCTTCCACCGCCATGCTCTCCGAACTCTCGCGTCTCTTAAAAATCACTATCGTCGGCGGTTCCATTCCAGAACGTTCCGGAGGTCGCTTGTACAACACTTGCTGCGTCTTTGGCACCGATGGAAAACTACTCGCCAAGCACCGGAAGGTACCTCTCTTCCTCGTAATTTGTACGCTTGCATCTTTTGTAGATTGAATTCCTTGATTGAACGGAACGGAATCTTGCTGTGGTGACTGATGCGTGAATCGATTTTATTATTTTTGTGTGATTTTTGGCATACTGGTTTTATTGCAGATACATCTTTTTGATATCGATATCCCTGGGAAGATTACCTTTGTTGAGTCAAAAACTCTTACTGCTGGGGAGACTCCGACCATTGTGGACACAGGTCTAACACGTTCTTTCATCGCGGTAGTTCTGTCTGTTTCACTACTGATGCAGTCTTTTGTTCTGCTATTATGTTTGTTGTGAACTTGTGTTGAAATGAGAATGTATATTTGAAGTGTAAGTACAGAGCTGACGCTAAAATTAGCCAGCTGCAGGTTTGTATGACGAAGGGAAATGAAGGTTGTTGTGGTTTTGTTCTGTTGGATAAACCTCTAAAATGATTGGCTTCTTGTACTGTTCCATAGTTCATCTTCAAGTTACAAGTTAGGCTATCTTATGAAGTATGAACAATCACTGATTGCATGTCTCTGAGTCTGAGAGAAAATTTTGTTAATTATATCGCTGGTTCAGACTTCATGCTTTTGTCTATTTCTGGCTTCTCCCGTTTGTGCATGTGTATGCATGATATGAAAGGGGAAAAATTATAAAGAAATCAGGAAATTAGCTCAGAAGGAGAGGTTGATGTGTATGCGTGTTTTTAACTAGTTATGGAGTATGTTTCTTGACGACCATGTCACAAGAATGATTTAATTTTTTGGTTCTTGCCACTTTTTTTTTTTTCTTCTTGCTATGAAGATTTCTATGTTGGGGTAAACAAATTAAAATAATGAGTTGATTCATGCAGAGGTTGGACGCATTGGCATAGGCATCTGTTATGACATCAGGTTTCCAGAACTAGCTATGATATATGCTGCTAGAGGTTTGTCTTTTCCATTAATATGCTTGGAAACAATTAATCTTGCTCTATAGTTTGAAGTCTCCAAAGTTTTTTTTTTTTTTCCATTCCTCCTAAGGGCCATTAGCATCACAGAGTAGCAATTTTGATTTTTTGGGGGTGGATAGAAGAGGAGGGTTCATATACATAGGGCAACACTGCCTGTGTATTTCTCATTTCAGGAATATACTAAAAGAAATTTCAAATTCATATTCCTTGGTATGATATTTCATTCCCTTTATTATGTTATCTGTCATTCCTCTTTTCCTTTATAGGCTGTAAACTGTAAGGTTTTCTTGAGATTAATTGTCAGTTGTGTTGATTTATTTTCAAATCAACATAGCTATTATTATTATTATTATTATCATCATCATCATCTTTGGCAAACTTACAGTATCAATCAGCTTTTGACTTCAGGTGCTCACTTACTCTGCTATCCTGGTGCATTTAACATGACAACTGGACCATTACATTGGGAGTTGTTGCAGAGGTCAAGGTAATAATGGATACAACTTAATGAAACATTTAACAACCTGGAATATATGTTGTGCTTGTGTTCCTTTTAAATTTTAGTCTTGTAACTTGCAAGTTTCCAGTAATATATTAATGTCCAAATAAGACCTAATGTATTTTTGATCCCTAAAAATATGATGATATTTGAAATTAATACCTATTACATTTTTTATTCATTTCTTGTTCTTAAAAATTATATAAAAAAAAAACTGGGTGCTGTTTTTTGCTAAATTTTGGACTAATCATGAATAAAATTTGATAGGGACTTGAATCCAAAAATGTCTTTGAAAACATATTTAAGCCAATTACGAGCATGCATGTTACTGTCTGGAAACAACCTCATTAAGCTTGATAGTTTAATGGATTTTTGCACTAGTTACATTCAGTATAACGGACTGATAGTTTCCTGTACCATATATATCATTTTTATTTTGTAATAGGATTTTCTTTACAAATATAACCTTGGTTGTAGAAATTATGAGAAACTAGTTATCATAATTAAAGAGAGAGTATACATTTACATTTAAGTTGGCTTTCACCTTGTTTTGCTTCCATTTCTTTCTGCTGACTCTTCCTTGTCTTTGTCACTGCAATTTTTTTGTTATTTTTTATTTTACTTTTATATAATATTTATGATTACGTAGTAATTACTAATCAACATTCCACGGCTAATATGTGTATTCCTTCTTTAAATGCAGGGCTACAGATAATCAGGTAATGACTTCCCTTATTTTTTGAATTTTGGTGGCTTTTAGTGCATGTATTCTGATATTTTAGTTTAGAAGTGTATGGAATGTGAAATCATCTATTTGTTGTTTTTGGTTGTTGTTGTTGTTATTATTATTATATATTTACACTTAGTGTAGTTCTTGATGGATGAACTAAATAATAGGCTTGAAATAGTAACTATAATTTGAGAGATATATGCACTGTGAATAAGAAATAAAACCCCCTTCACACTCTCCACAAGGAATTTATAGTAAATGTGAGAAGTTCTGGAAAACGTACGCTACCTTACATTCTTACAGTGCGCTTGAATATGCATTATGCCAAATGTGATCTGCGTCTTAAGAGAAGCTACTCTGTGGCTTCCGCATTTTTCCCTTGTTTGACATGGTCTCCAAACATGCTATTGGTCTGATTTAGCCACTTAGATTGATTATCCACAAATGAGCAATGAATTTTGCGAAAGGTCCATGACTCTACACATCTCATCTCAGTATTTTACTGTTGAATCATTGGGATTGCGTTTGTAAACAGCCCATTGAAGGTTTATAGCAGGAAGAGGAAGAGTGCTAACAGAATATTAAGAGTCATTAGGATTTATTAATTAATAACAGTAACAGTTTAGTGGGCAAATAATTTTAATAGAAGGCATGAATAAATAGGGAAGATAGAGTTTTCAACTGTCCAGTAAACAGTAATTTCTAATAAAGAGGAGGCTGAAAGAAAGAGGAAAGGGGGATAGTTATGGGGTACGTGATATTTGAATAAGAATTTCAGTGGGAGAGTCAAGGTCTCTTGAATACAGAATACCCTAGTTACATTTTCTGTTTTCAGTAATTGTGAATATCCATTTCAGTTTATGTATCCTTCTGCTACTGACTGAGCTACAAAGTGCGGATTGATTTAAATAAGTTTTCCATTTATTTCTTATTGTTTCTGATCCAGTTCTATTAGATTGATGCGGTTGATTGTGTGATTAAAGCAGGGTATAGTTAGGGGTTTCTCTGTATATTCTAACCATATTAATCATTTGTGAATTGTATCCTTTACTGACAGTTATATGTGGCTACCTGTTCACCTGCCCGGGATACTGGATCTGGTTATGTGGCTTGGGGCCACTCTACTCTTGTTGGACCAGTAAGTAGATCCTTTATAAACAGCTTTCCTTGAATAGAGCCATTTAAATTAGCTTATGGAAATCAGAATTATATTTTCCGAGTTTTAATAACAAATATAAAGGGGAATATCCAGTACTTACCGTGTAATATATCAATTTGGCAGTTTGGAGAAGTTCTGGCTACTACAGAACATGAGGAGGCAATCATCATAGCAGAAATTGATTATTCAATATTGGAGCAGAGAAGGTTTTGTTTTCTACTTTTCTTCACACAATTCTGCACATGTTTAGCTTTTGATTGCCCGTCATAATAATCATTTGAAATGTTTTCATAAATTATTCAGGACAAATCTTCCTGTAACTAAGCAAAGACGAGGTGATCTTTACCAGTTGGTGGATTTTCAGAGGCTGAATTCCCAGTGATGAGAACATAACTATTGTAATTGAGATATCCGGATTACCTTGTATGTGGCATTAGCATGCCATTCATTTATATTATCGCTATTTGGATGCTGTATTATTGCTGATATGGAACTCGAACCTTGTAGGGAATAAAGAAATAAAGGAAATTGTGCTTTCTCGAATACTTTGTTTTGTTTTTAATTGCTTGCATTTCTTCTAATATTTCTGAATTAAGGGTTCTCCTCTAAGTTTTTGTGACCTGTATGATGTGACTCAGATTGATTTCAATGTATAATCCAGATCAGGCGTTTGGGAATTGGTTTTGTACAGCCTCTGCTCAATTCACAAATCAATGAATTTATGGTTATAACCTACAATCTGTGAAGTGCCTCTTTTGAGAACACACACCAGCTGAGTAAATCCTGCACCCAAATAGATATTTTTGATGATTCTTAATTAAATCATCCTCCACTTTTAACAAATTTGAATCAGATTGCTGTATGCACGATCTATCATGTGAGGATCAGCTGGGATGGTGTGTTTAGGCTTAACAATCAACTATTTGTTGTTGTCCATGGTGGAAATGTAAGGGGGGAGTGGGTGCATTTGTCTGTCGGACTCTGACATTAGACCTGAGTAAAACTGTTAAGGTATGTTTGGAAGGAAAAACGAGTATTATTAAGGTTAAGTAAGGTCGCTATACCGATTATACATTAAAAAAAACCAACTTTTTTAGAAATGTTATTTATCATTATATTCTTTAAATAATTTATTTCAACATCTATTTTGGGTCTTCTATGCTTTTCACAAGATTAAGAATCACGTTATATATTCTCCTCATTTATCCCTTCGGTAATTCTACATGTATTCAAAATTTCTTAATTATATATATATATATATATATATATATATATAAGTG